GGTGTGTGCACGTGACGTCCACAGCCGTGTGCGGTGTGTGCACGTGACGTCCATGGGGACGGAGAGCATCATGCAAAGCATATGCCCACCACATTCTGACAAGAAGCACTGCACATGGGTGGCTGTACCCACAAGGCACAGATTCCACCCCTCCTGCTCTGCTTCTCTTCCACCGTCTATACCTCCTTCCCTGACCTGCGCAACAGTAAAAATGGCCATGGCCGAGTTTGGTGGGGATAGGGGTGAGGCAGAGTCACATGGGAGTGGGGCACAGGCATGGGGGATTTGAGGAGGTGGGCTCCTGTGGGGGGGGCAGGGCCCGTGCCCTGGGGACATGTGGGTGGGGCAGAAGGACATGGATGGGGCATGTGGAAGGTAGAGTGGGGAGAAGTGGGGGGCAGCACCCCTGCACCTACCTGTGTGAGCAGCTTGCCGTCACCCCCCAGCAGCTTCACCTTGGTCTCCAGCTGCCTCATGTACGAGGACGAGGGATCTGTAACGAGGGAGAGGAAGGTTGAACACTGCACAGACTCCTGACCCAGGAGAGTTCCCGCTCCCCGCACTCCCACAGGGATCCACTCTCAGGGAGCAAGCTCCCCAGGGGCCACCTCGCACAGTGGGAAATGGAGCCCAGGAGTAAGTTCCAGCAGATCTGGGTCCTCTCTCTCCACCTCGGTCTGCATCCCGGACGGCTGATGGCAGTCCTTGCACCCTACACGCCATCAGAGACAGCCAGCACCTGCCCTCAGCACCCACCACTCATGACCACTGGGAATGCCACAGCTTTCTCAGCCACTCAGGGGTCCGGTCACCAGCCCCAAACCCCTGGACCTGGACCTCCTGGAAACCCATGGCAGCCCACAGGCATCAGCCCTGGTCAGCAGTGGGGCTCAGTGGTCCACTCCTGCTGGAGGCTACACACACCTGACTCCCTACCCCCAGGGCCTCCTCCTCATCCCTCAGTAATGAGAAATCAAGGAACAAGACGGGGCAGCTTCAGCTCACACACTCCGGCCATGCCAGCCTGCCTTCCCAGAGGATGGCAGAGACAGAGGGAAGACGGCTACATGGCAGCAACAGTGGGATGCAGCCACACTCCAGGAACCACCAGAAGCTGGACGCAGCGAGCATGGACCTGCCCGAGGACCGGAGAGCACGTGGCCTGGGAAGGAATTCTCTGCCCCAAGTCCATCTCAGAAGTGCAGCCAGAGTGTTCCCGGGAGCAAGCGAGACAAGACGGCAGGGCTGCATCTCACCTACTCTGCACACCTTATCAAGAGGAGCAGTCCCTGCAGAAGGCACCTCGCCACACCTGCCCCAGAACTGAGGGCCGAGATGGTGCATTTCCAGGGTTCCTCGCCAGCCCC